TCAGCCAGCGAATCATGCCAGCCTGGCCCCACTGGTGGACCTCCTGATGGCACCTGGTATTTCTGGCCACTGCGGGATACAGAGTGTTGGGCTGGATGGGCCTTTGGCCTGATCCAACATTGGCGTCTCTTATGTTCTTATGTTCTATCAGGGCTCTTTTTGTAGAACAAGCCCAGCAGGAACTCATTAGCATAATAGGCCACACCCAACAGCAGAAACTCATTAGCATATTAGGCCACAGCCCTGACAGCACAGCTCATTAGCATATTAGGCCGCACCCCCATGTTACCAGAAGTGTGGTCATCCAGCCACGCCCACCTTTTGCTTCTTATTCTGTTGACTTTGTTTGTGGCTTTTTTGTAGCAGGAACTCCTTTGCATGTTAGGCCACACACCCCTAATGTAGCCAATCCTAATGCGTTTCTGCTGTTGGGTGTGGCCAGTATGTTAATGACCCCCTGCTGGGCGTGGCCAACTCAGGAGCTAGCTGGAACTCCGTTCCTATGCGTGCCTGCCCCAAAATAGCCCTGTTCTACGTTATCACATGGGAAAGGTGAATCAGACTTTCGAGAAGAGGCCATGGCTCAGTGGTAGAGCATCTGTCAGTCCCGGGTTCAATCCCCGGCATCTCCAACTGAAAAGATCAGGTACTGGGTGATGTGAAAGACTCTTTCCCTGAGACTCTGGATGGCCACTGTCATTCTGCATAGGCAGTACTGACCTTGATGGACTGATTCAGCACGAGGCAGATCAAGACGGGTAGCCATGTTAGTCTGTCTGTAGCAGCAGAAAAGAGTCCAGTATCGCCTTAAAGACTAACAAAATTTGTGGCAGGGGATGAGCTCGCGTGGGTCACTGCTCACTGCTTCGGATTTGAAGAAGCATCTGAAGAAGTGAGCAGTGACTCACGGAAGCTCATCCCCTGCCACAAATTGTGTTAGTCTTTACGGTGCTCCTGGACCCTCGCTCTTTTCTACAGTATGAGGCAGTTTCATGTCCAGCCACCTGTTTGGGCAAGGACTGTGGCTCAGTGGTAGAGGTTCAATCCTCAGCATTTCCAGTTAAAAGGACCAGGCAGTAAGTGATGTGAAAGGAGAACTGGGAACCTGAAGACCCTGGAGAGGGCTGCCAGATGGAGCAGCCAAGACTGACACTGAGAGACCAGGGTCAGACACAGTGTAAGGCCACTTCATGTGTTCATGTGTTCTTGTTGGCTCGCTTGCCCTCTTTGTGCCTCTTGATTCTCCCCGTCCACCCCTTTCTTCTCACCTCTCCACAACTTTTCCTGTACATCTAATGTAATGAATTAATTATCGTGTGGCATTGTGTGTAGAATAGCCAGGAGATCCTAAGATTGTCTGGTAGCCAGAAGTTCTAGCTCTTTAGTGTTATGCACCACTAGGTGGCGAGCTAGACTTTTTAAAGGCAAGAGACGTTTCAGTGATGGTTTGCCATTGCCTGTGTGGTGTAGCGGTTAACAGCCGTGGATTCTATTCTGGAGAGCCGGGTTTGATTCCCCACTCTTCCACATGCAGCCAGCTGGGTGACCTTGGGCCAGTCGCAGTTCTGTCAGAGCTCTCTCAGCCCCACTTACCTCGCAGGGTGTCTGTTGTGGGGAGAGGAAGGGAAGGTGATTGTAAGCCGCTCTGAGACTCCTTCGGGTGGTGAAGGATGGGGGTATAAAAACCAACTCTTCTTCTTCTACTACTGTGTCTTAACCTTGATATTCCTTGGAGGTCGCCCTTCCAAATACTAGCCAAGGCCAACCCTGCTTAGCTTCCGAGATCTGACGGGATCGGGCTAGCCTGGGCTATCCAGGTCTGGTTGCTATCCAATGTAATTATTTGGCACTAAATAAATATCAAAGGGGGGGGGGGGTACAGCGTGTGCTTCTGGCTGCAGCAGTGCTCCTTCAGGCCTCCACCATCAATCACTGACAACATTCATTTGTCCGTTAGGTGGGGTCTCCAACAGCCTTGGCGGATTCAAAGACAGAGCAGAAATTGCGGGAAGTCGCACAGCGATCTGGACACACCCTCTATATCCCCAGCGGAGCCCTGTGGGGTGGGCAAGACATCCAGAGGATGGACGAAGGAGGGCTGCTTCAAGTAAGATCCTAGAAAAGGGGGGGGGTGGATGAAGAGTGAAAGGGATGGTGGAAAAGGAGGCAAGGATTGGCCCTGCGCATGGCAGGGGATGAAGGAGAGAACAACAATATGCTGTATGTTCTCATTGCCTGAGGGAGGGCCTGTAGCTCAGTGGTAGAGCACCTGCATGGCACACAAAAGGTCCCCAGTTCAATCCCCGGCATCTCCCGTTAAAGGATCTGCCGGGAGGCGATGTGAAAGAACTCTGTCTGAGATGCTGGAGTAGCACTGCCAGTCTGAGTAGACAACACTGGCTCTGATGGACCAAGGGTCTGATTCAGTATAAGGCAGCTTCATGTGCCTGGATTAGCTTCCTTACCTCTAATGACACCAGCCATCCACATAGCAGGACATTATTTCAGTGGGGCCAAATTCACTTTGCACTGGCTCAGTTCGTGTGATCTTCCAGGGGGAAAGAAGGCAGGAATCAGCCATGCAATCTGAACCTGAGTTCCCCACATTCAAATCAGACCAGACAGGAAGGTCCAGGATTCACTCGGGGGAGAGCCAGTTTGGTGTAGTTGTTAAGAGCACGGACTTGAATTGGGAAGAACCGGGTTTGATTCCCCACTCCTCTACACACAGCTGCTGGTGTGACCTTGGGTCAGTCATAAGTTCTCTCAGAGCTGTTCTCTCAAGGGCAGTTCTCGAGAGAGCACTCTCAGCCCCACCTACCGCACAGGGTGTCTCTTGTGGGGAGGGGAAGGGAAAGGGATTGTAAAATTCTCTGAGACTCCTTTGGGTAGTGAAGGGCAGGGTATAAATCCAATCTCCTCTTCTTCCTCCTCTTCTTTAAAGGCTGACTGTTCTGGGATGGGCTGCATGTATTATTATCCTTGTTGTTATTCTTTATAAAGTAGTATGAGTTTACTAGGTGCTCAATAAAGGGACTTGTGCAATAAAGCACAGGCCCTGGACCACTCACCATCTAAATGACGGGGAGGGAGGTCTTAAGCGCTGTGATGTCTCTAGTTCTCTGTTTTCCCTGTTCTAGGCATTGACGGTCACCATGGCGAAGCACCCTAACAGCTTCCGCCTGGGCGGGCACCTAGGGGAGCTGGCACAGCGTGCCTGGCAGGGGCGCGCGGTGTTGTACGACGGCCCTGTGCGAGGACTGTGTCCCCTAGCCCCGAACAACGTCAACACCATGGCAGCTGCCTGTCTGGCTGCCCCCAGTCTGGGCTTTGATGGAGTGAAAGGGTGCCTCATAGCTGACCCCAAGTGAGTCGTGGACCTCCTTCCCGTCTGGTATGTGGGGATGCCGGCCCAAGCCGCTGATCCGGCACCGTTCTCCCTTCGGTCCAACCGATTGCTGTTCTGTATTGCAGCCTTCCTGACTACCACGTGGTGGAAGTGGAGGCAACCGGACCCGGTGGGTTCTCTGTCCGCACCAGGCGCAAGAACCCAGCTGCCTGCGGGGCCGTCACGGGGGCAGCCACCTTTGCTGCTTTCTGGAGCAGCCTGTTGGGTGAGCATGAAACCCCCGACTCTCCTTCCTGATGGTGTGACCCAGCTCGAAGCATGAATCTGCCCCTAAACCGTTCTCAGGACCTTTGCTGCAGCTTCTTAAAAAGCACTCTAGGGTTGGACCTAGCCAGTTTTTCCGTCTCAATCCCTGACTTGCTTAGGGGTACCATTTGTGGCTTTCACCAGGCAAGCCCTCAGCAAAGCACTCCTGTTCCCAACCATTGCTCAAATGAGTGGCAGGAGAAGACTGGCGGTGGAGGGAATGTCCTTGGCATTGCTTCTGGCTAAAACTCAGGAGAGATGTCACCACATCACCCCAGGATTTTGCTGAGGTCTGTAAAAACTTAGTGTATTGGTGATGTCACTTCTGGGTTTTGTCTGGGCTCTTTTTGTAGAAAAAGCCCAGCAGGAACTCATTAGCATAATAGGCCACACCACACACCAGAAACTCATTAGCATATTAGGCCACGCCCCTGACAGCACAGCTCATTCGCACATTAGGCCGCACCCCCATGTTAGCAGAAGTGTGGTCATCCAGCCACACCCACCTTTGCTTGTTATTCTGTTTACCTTGTTTGTTGTCAAAACCCAGGGCTTTTTTGTAGCAGGAACTCCTTTGCATGTTAGGCCACACACCCCTAATGTAGCCAATCCTAATGAGTTCCTGCTGTTGGGTGTGGCCTATTATGCTAATGAGTTCCTGCCCAAAAATAGCCCTGGATATTGAGGTGCTGCTAATAACCTCTTTCCCATGCTCTGCCCCCCCCCCCAATCTCCTGGGGGGTTCCAGGCATGCGCCTGGTCACCCTAAATTTACTTGGCCCAATGGCTTCTGTCTGTGCAGGTCCCACTGCTAAAGACAGGTTTGAAGACCAATTCCAGCCTCAGAAACCTGGATGTCTAGAGCAATTATTTTGGGGGTAGATTAGGGTTGCCAGCCCTGGGTTGGGAAATGCCTGGAGATTTTGGGGGTGGAGTTACCAGTTCTGATGTCTATGCTGGCAGGGGGTGGGAGGGAACTTTCTGGGAGTGGGGCGGAACTATGTGATGCACTGATGTCACGCGGAAGTGACGTCATCATATCGGGGATGTCGCACGGTGACACTCTTGTTTTTGGGCAAAACTCTATGGTAAAATCAGCATCAAACCATAGAGTTTTGCCCAAAAGCCAGAGTGTCGCCACATGACATCGCTCTTTGGGGGCAGGGTTTCCCCCACCGGCCAGCTGGCCAGTAGCGGGCAGAAGCCCTAAAAAATGGGAGATCTCCCGCTTGGAACTGGGAAATGACAACCCTAGTAAAATGTCATAGAGTCCACTCTCCAAAGCAGCCATTTGCTCCAGGGGGATTGATCTTGTTGGTCTAGAGAAGAGATAATTAAGAACATAAGGACATAAAAGCAGCCAATGTTGGATCAGGCCAAAGGCCCAACACTGTCACACAGTGGCCAAAAATACCAGGTAAAAAGGGGGGGGGGACTCAACCCAAGATAGGACTGCGAACCAATATTTATTAAGGTGTACACATGTTAAAACGTATACTGATTAAAAAATTTTTTGTCTATGTTCAGACTATAAAAGCTTATCACTACTAATACATATGATGGGTAAACATTTTCCAACTGAAGACCTGTAACAGGTCTATGAATGTGTGTCTATAATATATTGACAATAGTGACAATAGTGACCAGTGAGGAAGGCCCTTAGGGGCCGAAACGCGTTTGGTCTTCAAATTTAGCCACTTCCCTGCTTATTCTCGTAAGAACAAGAGATCTTCGGGTGCTACCTTGAGGTTGACAACCCTAGGGTGGACGGAGATGGAAAAGCTACCTAGACTTTGACTGTCTCTTCTGCTGTCTTCTGAACAGTATGTCAAGGCCACGGAGGCCGAGTCTATCTCTGCTGAGTCATGGTCTACCCATCACAAGAAGATACACAGACGATACCTGCCGGTGCTGGAGAAGCAGTTACGAGTTGATGGTCCCCCCCCCCCCCACTTTTTTTATCAGCCTTCAATCCATCCCCTCTAGAACCCCTCCCGTCTATTTCCTTAAAAGATAGCCTTTTCCTCTTCACCCACACCAGCCAGCTAACCTCTTCCCCACCCACCAACTATATGAATATGTTTCAGACTGCAATTAAGGGAGCATGTAGGGTTGCCATCTCCAGCTTTAGAAATGTCTGGAGTTCAGGGGAGAATGCTGTAGACGGGGCTCAGCAGGGATGTGACGCTGTTGACGTTGCTGCCCTCCAAAGCTGCCTTCTTCTTCCAGGGGAACGGATCTCTGTAGTCTGGAGATAAACTGCAGATTTCAAGAGGGGGTTGGAAACCTTAGGAGCAAGTCCCATTGAGCTCGCCCTTGGAAAGAAAACAGTTACAGACGTGAGAGCCCTTTCTTCTCATACAAACATACTTAACTTTCCAGGGCGTTTCAGCACATTTTATCCCCAAATGCTACTATAATCCAAGGAGCACTTTGGGCAAAATCTGCTGCAGCACTAAGAAGTTAGACATCCTTTAGGTCAGGGGTGTCGAACTCATTTGTTTACAAGGGCCGGATATGACATAAATGGGACTTTGTGGGTCCAGGCCATGCGCGTCGTAAAATGTAATGCCAGGTAGCAGAGATATAAACTTTATAGGGGATAACAAACACAATTAAAGACATTATTTTTTAACTTAAAATACAAATATGCTTAAAACTCTTGCGATGTTTTGTTTGTTTAACAGGTTTTGATAACTGACATCTCCCAACCCCCATCCCCCAAAGATGCTTGCCTAAAATGGAAAGGTGGGGGAATAGTGGGGTTTGGCAATGTAATTTTAAAAATAAAACACCAAGAAAAAGCACAAGGATCACAGTAGAAACTAAAAATATAAAATGCTCTGAGTCTACGAACATAAAAGGTAACTTCTTGAGCTCCACTCCATTGCAATACATTGCAGCACAGACAAAGTTGCAAAGAAAATGCGGAATGGATTTCCCATTAAGATCTCTGGGCCCAGATAAACTACTCTGGAATTACAACCACCAGAGTGAAATGACAGACTCTAGGAGTAGCAGAAGCATTCTGGGATTGGAATGAGGGCCCCCAGAGTGGAATTCCATTCCCAGAATGCTGCTGCTACTCCCAGGGGCTGTCATCCCACTCTGTGGCCTGTCATTCAGTCCCAGAACACAGATTCTATTGCTATGGACCGTCATTTACTCTGGGGGCTGTCACTCTAGTCCCAGAACACTGTTTCTATTGATCCCAGAAGAGCTTCCTGCCAAAGCAGGCAAAGACAAGAGACAGGGAGCTGGGAACTTCGGCAGCCTCAAGCTTCAAAGGGGGAGGAGAGGAGGGGGGAAGAAAAGAGCCACAGGCCTGATTAAAGCCATGGGTGGGCCGCTTCTGGCCCGCGGGCCTTAAGGTCTCCTTGCAAATACAGGGTCGATGTTTTGAGCCAGCTTGTGTCTGCTGAATGGACCTGAGAATGGGCGCCTGAGTGAATACCCACAGCCAAAGGGAGACATTACACTGGGGAGCCACTGCCACAATGAGTAGACCTGGGCAGGGGGCGTTTTATGTTCCAAAGCTCAGAGCATTTTTTCTGCTGTGATCCTTGTGCTAATTCTTGATGTTTTATTTTAAAAACTGCATTGCCAAACCCCACTATTCCCCCACCTTTCCATTTTAGGCAGGCATGTTTTTTTTCGGGGGTGGTGCTTTGGGAGGTGTCAGTTATCAAAGCCTGCTAAATAAACAAAACATCACAAGAGTTTTAAGCGTATTTGTATTTTAAGTTAAAAAATAGTGTCTTTAATTGTGTCTGTATCTTTTATAAAGTTTATCTCTCTGCTACCTGGCATTACATTTTATGACACGCATGGCCTGTCCTCACAAAAGTCCCATTTATGTCAGATCCGGCCCTTGTAATAAATGAGCTCAACACCCCTGGCTTAGAGCCTTTTGTATCTTACATCCCACCAATCACTCACCTGCGTCCCTCCGTGATAGCCATAAAAGCCCACTTTTCCCATGAAGGACATTTATATTTGGACAGGCATTCCATTGTTATATGTATTATTTATGGGAAATTTTAAGGACATAAAAAAAATTGCAGCAGCACAATAGATAATCCTTGGCAGGTAGGATCGGTAGGAAGAGGCACATCCAAGACACTTGCTGGTGGGCAGGAGGAAGGAAACACCAGGTGTCCAAGGTTACTGTTAGCATGCCAAAAGTTCACAGATCGATGATCCACAGCACTTAGGGTCAGGCACGTAGCTAACGCGAAGCCCGCGGGGCCCGCCCCCCCATGGTTTTTGCGGGCCCCTCCCCCAATCCTCAGCTCCACCTCCTTCCCACGGCCCCCTCACCCCTGATCGATCACTTCTTCTCTCCTCCCCCCGGCTCTAGACGTTTGGGCTCAAGGTGAAGCCAGCCACAGCCCAGGCAATTGAGCGGGTGGGCAGCGGCATTTGGCCCTGGGTTGGCCTCTGCTGGGCCGGGCTGGGTGGGATGAGGCAGGTGAGCGGCAGGCCAGGGACTGAGCAGGTGAGCACTGAGCAGGTGAGCAGCGGGCCAGGGACTCTGACTCAGGCGGCGAGGCGATTTGTGCCCACCACGGGCAGGGCGAGGTGGGAGGGAGGGAGGCAGGGTGACCCCGGTGGCTCAGAGCAGTAGCTGTGCCACCCCCATGAGGAAGGCCAGCCGAGGCGGCAGAGGCTGCGGGGGGGGGCACCAAGCACTTCTCCTGGTGGGGGGGGGACGAGAGCAACAATGGGAGGGGCCGCTGGCTGGAGGCGCCGAGCCATTCCTGTCCCACCCGGGTAACAAAGATGCCATGTCACGCTTGCGGGAAGACGTTGGGATAGAGGGACAGTGTGCATTCTTAAAATGGATTAGCCATGTTAGTCTGTCTGTAGCAGTAGAAAAGAGCAAGAGTCCAGTAGCACCTTAAAGACTAACAAAATGTGTGGCCAGGGAGGAGCTTTCATGAGTCGAGCTCATGCCCTGCCTCGTATTTTGTTCGTCTTTAAGGTGCTACTGGCCTCTTGCTCTTTTCTAGTCCATTCTTAGTAAAGTAAAGGTAAAGGTTCCCTTGCTCGAAAGCCAGTCGAATCCGACTCTAGGGTTGCGGTGCTCATCTCCGTTCAAAGCCAAAGAGCCAGCGCTGTTCGAAGACGTTTCCGTGGTCATGTGGCCGGCATGACTAAACACCAAGGCGCACAGAACGCTGTTACCTTCCCACCGAAGTGGTACCTATTTATCTACTTGCAATTTCTTGCTTTCGAACTGCTAGGTTGGCAGGAGCTGGAGAGACGGGCGCTCGCTCCGTCATGCGGCAACCCGGGTCTCGAACTGCTGAACTACCGACCTTCCACAGCCTGCAGTTCAGCGTCTTAACCACTTGAGCCACTGCAGCTCCATTCTTAGTACTCGTTCTCAAAATCCTGCATCCCACCTAGACTACTTCTGTGTCCCACTAGCGGTACTGGGGTTGCCAACTCCAGATTGGGAAATACCTGGATATTTAGGGGGGAGTAGCCTAGGGATGGAAGCATTTCTGGAGGAGAGGGAATACAGCATGGTATAATGCCATAGAGGCCACCACCCAAAGCAGCCATTTTTTCCAGGGGAACTGATGTCTAAAGATCAGTTACAGCTCTGGGAGATCTCCAGGCCCCACCTGGAGGTTGGCAACCCTAAAGTGTTCACATATCCCTGACTGAGAACCCCTGGGGTCCACATATCCCTTTCCCAGCAGCTCCTCAGGGTCTCAGCTAGAGGCCTTTTGCATCACCTACAACCTGATCCTTTTAACCAGAGATGCGGGGGCTGAAGCGGGGACCTTCAGCACGGAGCCACAGCTTCTCTCACCATGGCAGCCATCTTGTAGTTGGCTGCACCTCCCCGGCAGCCATTTTGTGGTGGGGCCCACAGGTTCAACGAGGTTGGGGACCCCTGCTCTAGGGGGAAAGGAGGTGAAAGAACACTTTGTTATCATTTGAGAGAGACCGGGGTGCAAATCCACTATGCCTCCCGGTCCCTGGACATTTATGCTAAATAAAGAACCTCAGAAGTCCAGTGTAAATGACTCTCTCCGCTTGTTTTCTTTTTTCTCTCTCTCTCTCTTCCCCTCCCTCTTCTTTTTAAAAGCTCATTATACTTTAAATTGCATTTGTATTTCTTGCCTTGACGTCGTATTTTGATCAGGGCTGTCATCCGCTTAAGGACGCCGTGAGTTGATCAAAAGGCTTTTAATTGATTAATTTAACTGATTGAACACCGCAGCCCCGGTTTTATTTTTAATCTCAAGCGATAGCGAGGTAGGTGAGAGATGTCAAGAAGCGTTGTGATTGTTTGTTGTTGCCTGCGGGGGGGGGGGAACACCCTAAAAGTCTGATCTGTGTGGGCGCCGCTTTTAGCGGTTAGTACACGGTCGGAACAAGCCTAAACAGCAGGTCTACTCGGAAGTAGGTCCGAACCAGAGGAGTGCAGCCTGCGCCTTGCACTGCGCAATTCAGCATCTGCTATGGGGTTTCTGTAAGACACAGCGGTTCTCTTGTACGTGTAGTATGTGCGTAGGCTGCCAACGATATGTCAATACAGCCGTGCTTTATAAATTAAAACAAATCACAGCCCTGCAAAACATAATAGATGTCTCTTATTTCAAACACTGCAGAGTACGGGGAGCAATGCCGGCAGGGAGTCTACCGCAAAGACGTGGGGAGATCGGAGAAAAATATTGCTCAATTCTTACCAGATTGCTGGCGCTAAAGAAGTGTTGAGTTCATAATGAGGTTGTCATCAAAGGTTAAAGGATGATGTCTCCCCTCCCCCCCCCAGCATTTTCCAGCTCCCTGGAGCCTTAAGGATGGCTCCCGCTTCTCTTGCCAGCAGGTCTGACACTAACAG